CCCATAAATCAGATATATATTTATATAAAGTGTCTATTGCCCCCCCCCCCCACTCCCCATGACGTATAACATTTCTAGGACCCTTCTCTCACATACACCGCACACACACACACACACACACACACACATATATATTACCACACAATGGCATCGGACTGAGAGGGACTATATTTTAGCTGACATGGACCAAAATGTGTTTTTGACCTATTTCCTCTTTCGAATAGACTTATACTTTCACAAAATATTAAAACTAATGCTTCACAATTCTTTAAAAAAAAGTAACGTTTTAAGAATGTATGACATTATTTACAGATATCAAGAACATAACGTTTTTTTTAAAACTTTGTTACTACTTTTTTTTTTATTTACATCTACAATCCCATATGTTATCCCGAAGATTCTTGTCATTTGATTCATGCAATACTTTATACAAAGGTTGATACGCCAATATTGAACGTGGACCACCTTTATTATAGGCCCTCTCCTTGTAAATATTTTATTCCTTACATTTCATTGTTTAACGCATCGCGTTTTTTCAACAGCGCGAGAAAGTGTAAAAAATTAAAACAATGCTTTTGTGTGTATTTTCGGAAAGTCCCTATAATTTATACAATTGAACGTCATCATGAGTTTGTTTACGCTACTAGAACCCAATGTGCAACAAAAAAAACGTACCACAACTTTTGAAGATTATTTGTTAAAAATTATATTCAGTTAGCGATAATATCAATCGCGAAAACTAAATCCCCCATGTAGAACATTAATTCGATCAAGTTTTTCTAATCACTTAATTATCTTTAAATAGCACCGCGCAGAAGGCAGAAAAGTAGATCTTTGACTTATATGTGAAATTTCGTTCATCTATCTGAAACAATACTCAAGTTATAGGCTTTGAAAAATGGAAAGTAGATTAAGTTCCAGTTACGGTTACCGGAAATCGCTGAAAAGTTGAAACAGAATTACCAATGTGATATAATACTTATGTATGAAATTTCATCAACATAGCTGTGACGGTACTCAAGTTATCGTGTTTACACACATACACACACAGACTTACGGGGAAAAAAATGCAAAACTATGTTTTTCCGACTCAGGGAGGTGTAAAACGTTGAGATTTTGCACGATTACAATACTTTCTTTATACTTCGTATACGAGAAAGTAAAAAGCGACGAAATGTTTTTAAGAAAATAATGTTTATTTTGTCTTATCCAACACTTTAAAATAACAAAAAATTTGTTATGGAAAAAAATAAAGGTAATTAAAACAGTGTTCGTGTTAAATCTGTTAAACATTCATCAAGGCCTATATTCTATATCATACCACTAACCCATTCAGCAGAAATATTTAAGCAAAAGATACCAGCATAATTTCCGTATGTAATTAGAGCAAGATCATTTCGTCTTTATCACACGGATGTTTTCGAGTTGGTAAAAAGTACACTTAAAAATTACATTCCTGCATTTTAGATGTCTAGACTTTAAATGTCTAGACTGGTGATGTCTAGACTTTTTCCAGACTTTAGATGTCTATACTTTAGATGTCTAGACTTTAGATGTCTAGACTTTATATGTCTAGACTTAAGATGTCTATACTTTAGATGTCTAGACTTTAGATGTCTAGACTTTAGATGTCTAGACTTTATATGTCTAGACTTAAGATGTCTATACTTTAGATGTCTATACTTTAGATGTCTATACTTTAGATGTCTATACTTTAGATGTCTATACTTTAGATGTCTAGACTTTAGATGTCTAGACTTTAGATGTCTAGACTTAAGATGTCTATACTTTAGATGTCTAGACTTTAGATGTCTAGACTTTAGATGTCTAGACTTTAGATGTCTAGACTTTAGATGTCTAGACTTTAGATGTCTAGATTTTATATGTCTAGACTTAAGATGTCTATACTTTAGATGTCTATACTTTAGATGTCTAGACTTTAGATGTCTAGACTTTAGATGTCTAGACTTTAGATGTCTAGACTTAGATATCTAGACTTTAGATGTCTATACTTTAGATGTCTAGACTTTAGATGTCTAGACTTTAGATGTCTAGACTTAGATATCTAGACTTGATAAGTCTCACTTTGTTTCTAGTATGTCACTCTTAACGACCTGTTACGCGCAAATAACATTTCGAGCTTATGTCAGTTAATATACCATATACCATATACCACATACCATATACCACATACCATATACCATATACCATATACCATATACCACATACCATATTTCATTGATTATACTTGCCGGACGTCTATTACAGAAAGACAACACAGCCCTTTCGCTGGGCAATTTTTTTTTTTTAAATCCGGAACTTATTTTAATTTTAAATTTCCGAATCTTTATATAATTTTAAAATATATTTTTATCTGCATTTCAAAACCTCATTTTATTCGAGTGAAATTATACAAATACACTTAGACAACTAGAAACTAAATTAATTGAACTTGGTTAATTACTAACGAGAGTTCAATACAACCTCCATCATTACAAGTTTTATACGACGGAGATGGGTGGGATGGTGCGGGGTGGGGTGGGGGGGGGGGGGGGTACTTAATCCACTTCCTTCCTACAAAATGACGTTGAGATGTCCATTTAACCACAACAACAAAAATGCGACATTTCTCTTTAAAAAGGTACATAATCCAACGTTTTATCTTTATACTTCAGCGAGGAGTGGTGAGTATGGCTTTTAAAACATATTTCTGAGAGCTTATTTAGTATAAATGCAGTTTTATTTGAATTACGATTTGTTAATACAGATTTGTGAATTTTTATACAAGCCTAGGGACTGATGAAGTCACTGGTTTTGAAGTATGTGTGTGTGTGTGTTTATGTGTTGTGATTTTGAAAAGATGTGTCATGGTTTTGTAGTGTGTGTTGTGATTTTGAGAAGATGTGTCATGGTTTTATAGTTTGTGTTGTGATTTTGAAAAGATGTGTAGCGGTTATGTAGTGGTTGTCTTGATTATTTAACGTGTGTTGTAATTTTATAATTTGTGTCGTGGTTTTTTAATATGTGTCGTGGATGTTGTATAATTTGTCGTGAAAAGATTTTCACGAAACATTGTTCATGATCAACGTATCTAAACAGTAAACATATGTGGCGGGGAAATATAAAAATGTCAAAAATGTCGGGATAGAGAAATGTCGGGATAGAGAAATGTCGGGATAGAGAAATGTCGGGATAGAGAAATGTCGGGATAGAGAAAAGTCGGGATAGAGAAATGTCGGGATAGAGAAAAGTCGGGATAGAGAAATGTCGGGATAGAGAAATGTCGGGATAGAGAAATGTCGGGATAGAGAAATGTCGGGATAGAGAAAAGTCGGGATAGAGAAATGTCGGGATAGAGAAATGTCGGGATAGAGAAATGTCGGGATAGAGAAATGTCGGGATAGAGAAATGTCGGGATAGAGAAATGTCGGGATAGAGAAATGTCGGGATAGAGAAATGTCGGGATAGAGAAAAGTCGGGATAGAGAAAAGTCGGGATAGAGAAATGTCGGGATAGAGAAATGTCGGGATAGAGAAATGTCGGGATAGAGAAATGTCGGGATAGAGAAAAGTCGGGATAGAGAAATGTCGGGATAGAGAAATGTCGGGATAGAGAAAAGTCGGGATAGAGAAATGTCGGGATAGAGAAATGTCGGGATAGAGAAAAGTCGGGATAGAGAAATGTCGGGATAGAGAAATGTCGGGATAGAGAAATGTCTGGATAGAGAAATGTCGGGATAGCAAAATGTTGGGATAGAGAAATGTCTGGATAGCAAAATGTCGGGATAGCAAAATGTCGGGATAGCAAAATGTCGGGATAGAGAAATGTCGGAATAGAGAAATGTCGGAATAGAGAAATGTCGGAATAGAGAAATGTCGGAATAGAGAAATGTCGGGATAGCCAAATGTCGGGATAGCCAAAACTGCAAATAGTGGTACAAAATTAACACTTGCTAACTTCGAGATCGTCTACATTGATTTGTCAACAGGTCAAGACTAATAACCTGTCTCAATATTTCGTTTTACCGAACACCAAACGTTAAACATAGACACTGCGCTAGACACTAAAATACAGACAGACCTAAGGAGTCAACGGTCTATATGGGTCGTAATAAGTTGGCACCTAATACTAATAGTGTTGGGGGAATTTTATAACGAAGAAGATAAACTATCCAAGACACTAAACATAGAAACTGTCTTCGACACTAAATAGACACTGTCTCAAACACTATACATAGACACTGTCTTCGATACTGAACATAGACATTAAACACAGACACTAAACATAGACACTGTCTTAGACACTAAATAGACACTGTCTTAAACACTAAGCATAGACAATGTCTCAAACACTAAAGATAGACACTGTCTTAAACACTATACATTGACCCTCTGTATAGCCCGTAGCCAGTTTTGTTAAGAAGGTTTTTTTGTTCTTAACTCGCTACAAATTCAATGTTTAAAACAATTGACGCGCGTTCAATTATATTTTGAATTGTGAGAAAGTATGAATAATTTCTAATCTTCATTTTTTATTGACTACCTTTGCCTAGTAAATATATCCAATCGGTTGCCCATTTGCAACGCAACCACGTATGGGGAGGGGGGATGGGGTGGAGGAAATATAGACCTGACTATACACGGACGCCCAAGGCAAACCTTTTTTTTTTGTACTTCCTAGAGAGTTCGTGACTATTGTCTGCTTTGTGTTGTGACAAAGCGTAAAACATTGTCCTAATTTGTCATGTCCTCTATGGTAAAGTGTGTCAGATATTTGTTAAGGTGTGTAGCTATTTTTTTTTATTTACAGTCACTCAGTCACTGGGGACTTGCAACATGTTTGTGCAACATGTCCGTGCAACATGTCCGTGCAATTTGTTCGTGCAACATGTCCGTGCAGCATGTCCGTGCAACATGTCCGTGCAACATGAATTACCGAACAAGTTCGGTAAACGAGATATCTCAAGACCCGCCTTCCTGACCCACGTCCCATAGACCCACCTTTGTGACCCACGTCCCATAGACCCACCTTTGTGACCCACGTCCCATAGACCCACCTTTGTGACCCACATCCCATAGACCCGACTTCGTGACCCACGTCCCATAGACCCGACTTCGTGACCCACGTCCCATAGACCCGACTTCGTGACCCACGTCCCATAGACCCGACTTCGTGACCCACGTCCCATAGACCCGACTTCGTGACCCACGTCCCATAGACCCGACTTCGTGACCCACGTCCCATAGACCCGACTTCGTGACCCACGTCCCATAGACCCGACTTCGTGACCCACGTCCCATAGACCCGACTTCGTGACCCACGTCCCATAGACCCGACTTCGTGACCCACGTCCCATAGACCCGACTTCGTGACCCACGTCCCATAGACCCGACTTCGTGACCCACGTCCCATAGACCCGACTTCGTGACCCACGTCCCATAGACCCGACTTCGTGACCCACGTCCCATAGACCCGACTTCGTGACCCACGTCCCATAGACCCGACTTCGTGACCCACGTCCCATAGACCCGACTTCGTGACCCACGTCCCATAGACCCGACTTCGTGACCCACGTCCCATAGACCCGACTTCGTGACCCACGTCCCATAGACCCGACTTCGTGACCCACGTCCCATAGACCCGACTTCGTGACCCACGTCCCATAGACCCGACTTCGTGACCCACGTCCCATAGACCCGACTTCGTGACCCACGTCCCATAGACCCGACTTCGTGACCCACGTCCCATAGACCCGACTTCGTGACCCACGTCCCATAGACCCGACTTCGTGACCCACGTCCCATAGACCCGACTTCGTGACCCACGTCCCATAGACCCGACTTCGTGACCCACGTCCCATAGACCCGACTTCGTGACCCACGTCCCATAGACCCGACTTCGTGACCCACGTCCCATAGACCCGACTTCGTGACCCACGTCCCATAGACCCGACTTCGTGACCCACGTCCCATAGACCCGACTTCGTGACCCACGTCCCATAGACCCGACTTCGTGACCCACGTCCCATAGACCCGACTTCGTGACCCACGTCCCATAGACCCGACTTCGTGACCCACGTCCCATAGACCCGACTTCGTGACCCACGTCCCATAGACCCGACTTCGTGACCCACGTCCCATAGACCCGACTTCGTGACCCACGTCCCATAGACCCGACTTCGTGACCCACGTCGCATAGACCCGACTTCGTGACCCACGTCCCATAGACCCGACTTCGTGACCCACGTCCCATAGACCCGACTTCGTGACCCACGTCCCATAGACCCGACTTCGTGACCCACGTCCCATAGACCCGACTTCGTGACCCACGTCCCATAGACCCGACTTCGTGACCCACGTCCCATAGACCCGACTTCGTGACCCACGTCCCATAGACCCGACTTCGTGACACACGTCCCATAGACCCGACTTCGTGACCCACGTCCCATAGACCCGACTTCGTGACCCACGTCCCATAGACCCGACTTCGTGACCCACGTCCCATAGACCCGACTTCGTGACCCACGTCCCATAGACCCGACTTCGTGACCCACGTCCCATAGACCCGACTTCGTGACCCACGTCCCATAGACCCGACTTCGTGACCCACGTCCCATAGACCCGACTTCGTGACCCACGTCCCATAGACCCGACTTCGTGACCCACGTCCCATAGACCCGACTTCGTGACCCACGTCCCATAGACCCGACTTCGTGACCCACGTCCCATAGACCCGACTTCGTGACCCACGTCCCATAGACCCGACTTCGTGACCCACGTCCCATAGACCCGACTTCGTGACCCACGTCCCATAGACCCGACTTCGTGACCCACGTCCGATTCTCCAGACCTCTGTCCTGACCCAAGAGGACCATGTCCTATAGACCCACGTTCTGACTCACGTCCTTAAGACCCATATCCTGACCCATGTCTTCTAGACCCAAAATCTAACCCTTGCACCCTAAACCCAGATCCACACACACACCCTATACCACCCACGAGTTAAACATGAGATAATCACACACCAACCTGAAACCAACCCATCCACAACAAATACCCATTACACACATGTTAATTACGATTCTAATGCAGGTACCTCCCCCCCCCCCCACCCATCAGGAAAATTACCACCCCTCTTTTTGAGAATATATGTTATACATAATGTCTATAAGGTGAGCACCCAGTTTGTTATAAAATGTCTGTGTTATAAAATGCCTGTCATTGGCTGACATAGTACAAAAATAAATAGTACTTTGTATTTTCCCTCTGTATTCTATACTATACAAAACATGGAAACAACGTGCAGAATAAGATTATTCCGTCCAGAACATTGACTAACATAACCTAACGCTATCACTATCATTAATCTTATCCTTATCCATATTTTACCGATACCCTACCCGGAGCTTCCTCAAAATGACAGAGAGTATAGACAGTTTTGTGTTTGTTCTTCTGCAGATTGAGAAAGGGATAATGTACAGCGGCTGGGGGTAACTGATCTAGGGGGTGGGGGGTGGGGGGGGGGGGGGGTAATGGCCTGTTGAAATAATCGGGGGGGGTGTAATAACTAGCAGAGGGGGTCGATGTCCTGCTCCCGTTATTTCATCAGTGTGATTTTCCCCGTTCGTACCCAAGACACATGAAGTAGAGTTCATCTGTTTCAGGGACCTCGGCATATGAAGTCATAGCGTGGTCAGCACTATGCCCAGCCGCCTTTGTTTTTCCCAACGTGAGTTAGGTACCAATCAGAGCTTCTACTGACTGGAACCCGAATTCGAACTCGATACTTTCGGGTTAACAGCCTAGCTCTCAACCGCTAAGCCACACCGTCCCTTGTTCCCCGTTATTTACATACCATATTTGTTGATGTTTTCAAACCTCCCTCTCTTGTTTACCTCTACCAGTTCAGTCCACCACAAAAGACTACCAGGACGCTCTCACACAACAATGGATTAGGGAGGTCATCTCAGCTTATCTGGAGGCCAACCGGACTCCGTGGAGTTTTGGTGCCACCACGACGTCGGAGGAGGAGGAGGAAGTGCCGGAGCTTAGGCCGCAGGCGTCCAAGAGAAGTCTGGGTCAGTGTATTCACAAGTGTATCAATGTCAGCAGGATGAATTTTATGCAGTGCAAGTCATTATGCCATTAGGTGAGCTGGTTGTGTTGGTTTCTAAAATTATAGTGTGTGGGTTATGTCCCTTGAGTTAATTCAATTCATGTTACAAAAGGGGCAAAACTTAAAGACCAAGGGATAAAATTTACTGAGCTAGAAAAAAAATTTCAGTTCACGTTACAAATTATTTTTTTTTACTAGCTCAGTAAATTTTGTCCCTTCGTCTATAAGTTTTGTCCCTTTTTAAAGCTTGTAAGTAATGTCCTTTTTAAAGCTTGTATGTTGTATTCCTTTTTAAAGATTGAAAGTTATGTCACTTTTTTTAAAACCTGTAAGTTACACTTTCTATTTTAAAGAATTGACACACTTCTGGTCGATTGGGCATTTGGTTTTCAAGAAACCGTCGTATAGGTTAATCAGTTTTCGGGTAAAATTCCGGCAACCTGAATATAAAATATAAACTACTGCTGCCGTGAAAGCATGTCATGATCGCAGTGACATTAAACAAGGAAATAAACAGCTTACGTCGTATATTGTGATTTAGTTAGGTAATCAACATGTCCATGGAAGGCTACGTGGTTGGGTAGTAGAGCGTTTGATTGTTAAGTCCAAAAGTTCAGACTCTGGGCAGATGAGGCTCAACAGCTGGGGACAGAAACCCATCCAGGCGAGACAACTCCAAAATCAAACAACCGCTGCCTTGTAGTTTGTTCTTGGTTGGACAAAAGCTATGGGAGCAAATCCAGAAAGAAATGCAGGCTGAAATCAGAGTCAACGGCCTCAATGGCGCATAACCTGTTGACACGTAATACTTAATTGTTTTGGAGGAAATTTTTCCAACATTATAATTCAAGAACGAAAAAGAAAACATCCCCATAAATAACTGAATGAGCCGGTAACTCTCGCTCTCTACTTGCGCAACTCTCTTACGACAACACACCGCTATAGGTTTTATAGTTTCTTGGTTTACAGCCCTGTTGCTTCACTTGTCGTTTGGCCAGCCCCTTGGCCCATCCCCCACCCCCTCCCCTCTGTATACCATTAGGTAACACGTGAATGCATGGTAAAGGGGGTGGGGTGGTGGTACGGCCGTTTAGTAACGCTATTAAAACACAAATCAGCGCGTGCAATGATCAGCACATAATAAATTTTAATGCAAGTGGCAGCTGGACATACATTTGTATTTTACACTCAAAGGTTCCTAGCGGTAAATTTTATCGCCACTTCCGATACAAAGTCAACCACAAATACCCCATTGCAAATATTAGCTTTTTCCCATGAGCAACCGCATGTAGCGTGTGCTGGAGAGGAGGGAAAACATAATGCCTATATATATATATATATATATATATATATATATATATATATATATATATATATATATATATATATATATATATATATATATATATATATAAGCCTAGAACCGCTGATCTGTAGTTTTGCACTGATTCGTTGGTTTTTGGTTTCCCATCTAATTTTTTATAAACCCTCCTATTGTTCATCGTTCCAGTAATAGCCGCTAGGAGGGGAAGTCTGTCTTCGATTATTTGTTTTAAAAATGTGAAGAATCAGCTCGGGATAAGTACCAATCAATGCAGACTATCTAGTTCTATACCACTTAAGTAGAGGGGGTGTGGGTGGGGGTATGTGCAGACTATCTAGTTCTATACCACTTGGGGAGCGGGGGTATGGGGGAGGAGTTGGGTTGGGGTGGGGGGAAATGTGCAGACTATATAGTTCTGTACCACGTGGGCACCGGAAAGTGGGGGGGGGGGACAAGGATGACAAGGGGGAGGAGATGTGCATACATATCTGGCTCTAAATTTGGTGGTGAGTGAGCGGGGGGGGGGGGTTAATCAATCATAGGCACTAAAACCAATGTACACATATGACTAAAAATGTGGAAATATTCTTTCTTAAAAGCATACGGCATCTATTAAAGTTTATTTTCGCTGGCATCTGGACTTTCTTTTAACAATAACAAAAGGATGGCAATATGTATGCTAAACTGAGCTCAGCAGTTGCCACCCACCCACCCAGTGGCGTAGCGAGGTCGGGTGTCACCCGGTGCGGCACTTAATAGTGCCACCCCACCCCAGAGGCGTAGCGACTTCCCGGGGACAAGCTTCAATTTTAGATTTGACACCCCCCTCTCGAACTTACTTTCGATTTGCACTCCCCCTCGAACTTTTGATTTGCATCCCCCCCCCTCAAATTTTTCTCTATATATTTTACTATTTCTTGCCTTGGTGTCACCCCCCTAAATGGTGTCACCCGGTGCGGTCCGCACCCCCCGCACCCCCCTCGCTACGCCTCTGCACCCACCCACCCACTACCCATCCACACACCCACCCATAATCCTTAGCGACCGTCCAATTTTATTTCAATGCATGGCGCTGCAAGAAAACTCCCATGCTAAAAAAGAACGGTTTGATTCAATGGTGGATATCATGCCACCAGACCCCCTCAGCCGCCTTTACTTTCCCTAACGTGAGTCAGGTACCCATCATAGCTGGGTGGACTCAGGGACGTTCTACTGAATAGAACCCGGTTTCGAACACTAGACTTCCTACCGCTCTGCCTCTACACCACGCCCAGATGTATATCTGTTTATTAATAAACAACAAGTACCCCCTTACATCGGCAAGAAAAAATTGTCTAAAAATTACAAGACAACATAGAGATAGCTACAGTAAACAATTAAATTGAATAAATTAAACATTAGTTTTCGAATTACAAAATCTTTATTTTATAATCTACAAGACTTTCCCTTCAATTTTATTTCAGCTTTCTTTGTTGTTTTTTTGTCTTCATATCGTCAGCCAACAAGCCGTCTGTCTATCTATGATGGTATTGTTTGCAAAACGTCCCGATCTATTCCGCGCTATAGGAACACAGTACAGCCTATACATCATGAATACGTCAGCCATGTTCTTCCTTTTATGTGTGCGCGCGCATGACGTTCTGGCCACGGAAAAGAATACGCCGTGTCTATTTATAGCCGCCAATGAAGAAAATAGCACCGGGCTTACAACAAAATGCACATCTACCCAATGTACGTGATATACGCGTCATGAGTGGGTGGAGAGCGATCTGAAGTACAAGTTCTAATCTTAATTACACACGCTCTCCACAGATTGTACACACACACACATATATATATATATATATATATATATATATATATATATATATATATATATATATATATATATATATATATATATATATATATATATATACAACCTCCTCTACAACCTCTTATACAACCTCCAATACAACAAATTATACAACCTCCTATACAACCTTATATACAGCATCTTATGCAACCTCCTATACAACCTACTATACAACAACCTCCAGTGTACTTGATGCTAACAATGCTAGGGTTATTGTTCACTGTGATCGGTTTAAGGCCCAAAACCCGTGAAACCTGTGAAACCTGTGTAGCTTGTGAAACCTGTGAAACCTGTGTAGCTTGTGAAACCCGTGAAACCTGTGAAACTTGTGAAACTTGTGAAACTTGTGAAACTTGTGAAACCTGTGAAACTTGTGAAACTTGTGAAACCTGTGAAACTTGTGAAACTTGTGAAACTTGTGAAACTTGTGAAACCTGTGAAACTTGTGAAACTTGTGAAACCTGTGAAACCTGTGAAACTTGTGAAACTTGTGAAACCTGTAAAACCTGTGAAACCTGTGAAACCTGTGAAACCTGTAAAACCTGTGAAACCTGCCCATGGATTGGCTGAGTTCATAACCTGAGGGTCACGCTATAGCCTTAGGTCAAACGTGGGGTCAGACGATAACCTGGGGTCACTTTATAACGTGGTGTATAACATGGGGTCATGTGGTAATCTGCGGTAACTATGACAGACATTTGAGCACCGTGTTGTCAAATGTCACAACACACAAACCATTTTGTGATGTCAAATGTCACAACAACACACAGACCTTTGAGCACCGTGTTGTCAAATGTCACAATAACACACAGACCTTTGAGCACCGTGTTGTCAAATGTCACAATAACACACAGACCTTTGAGCACCTGTGTTTTCCAGAGTAGAGGCAGATGTTGGCAGCAAGTAACACAGAAAAAAAAATCTCCTGACGTCATTTGTTAACGAAACAATAGCGGTGTGCGTGACTCCGCCATCTTGTGATGACGTCACGATTATTTTGACCAAGTTTCGCTTAATTTGTTGAGAAAATGTCTCAGAATAAAAAAAAATAGGAAATATTTATTTTTCAGTAATCGTTAAAGCGGATGAACATTCTACCCTTTTCGTTAATATGTATGTCCATATGTTTAAATGAAATCGGTTACGGCCAAATAATGCTTATCTTTTGAAAATACTAGTTGTAGGTATTTTACAAATTTCGCTTAACACGAAATTTTTTCCACGAAAGAATATATTTTTTCCCTCAATTTTGTATTAAATATTTTTAATTAATTCATGTACATGTATATAGGCATATATATATATATATATATATATATATATATATATATATATATATATATATATATATATATATATATATATATATATATATATATATATATATATTTATATATATATATTTATATATATATATATATATATATGGGAATTTAGTTGACACACATAATTATCGTATGGTATTTTGTTTCTTTACAGATGCTGAAATGAATAGGACCGGTAGATATACAAGAGGAACAACTATCTACTGATGTCATTGAACTATTAAAGCATTCCTGAAAACAGAAATAATTTTGTTCCTTCATTATTTTAAATAGAAACTTACATTTGGAGTTACGCGATTACGACAATTAAGTTATCAAAAACAACGAAAAGCACTTTTAAGATTATTTTTTTAAATAAATTACGTAACTGTTTTTAAAACTCGCTGCTTTACTATAAGAAAAATTAAAAGGGTGCTTCTTAATAAAAAAAAATACATGGAAAGACTCAGAAATTGATAATATTTATTATTACATGTTACAATCGACAGTGGCGTCACAAGGCGGAGGGTAGGGGGTGGGTGCGACCCAAATCCTTTGACACCATTTAGGGGGTAACACCAAATCTAAAAAGTCGTTAAATGGTCTGTCAAAAAAATGTGTTATACTGTTAAAAAAATAAAAATAAAAGTTAGGGATGAAACTGAAAATGCAGAAAAGCTGGAAGGGAGAGGGATGACACCCTCAGATACCTCACCGGGTGACACCCGCCCTAGTGACGCCACTGTCAATCAGACAAATACTTTGTAATCTATTGTATTATTTGAATTATATTCATCAGCATTGAATGACTTTTTTTCTTTATTAAAGTCGTTTTGTTACTGTTGTTTCTTCATAACTTTTTATTTACACATTGCTGGTAGAACATAGAGGCTAGGGTTACCCTTCAAAACAAATAAGATGGTGTTTCTTGTCCAAGTATGCTATATTATATATATATATATATATATATACATATATGGTTCATTTGTAGAACATTTGTAAAATTAGGACTAAACTAATGTTTGACACATGTTTAAAAAAACCGTTTTGGTGAAAGGGAAACCAAAGAGAAAAGCCTACCCGCAAGAAGATAAACCTACCCGCAAAAATCAAACCTACCTGCGAGGGGATAAAACCTACCAGCCATCTCATAATGACGCTCGCGATTTTTTTACAGGCAAAACACGTCATCATATTTTATTTATTTACAGAACTTCCTATCTCTTACAGATGTTTTACATACATCATCTTGAATGAATGATAACGGTAATTCAAGGGGAGGTAATTATAAATTACCTTTATGACTAATTAAAGGGAAGTTATGTTGAATTACTGGCAGAATAAAAATTGTAGGTTTTAAAAATGAAAAGATAGGCCTACTTATAGATCATTTAAGATTTTAACAATTTTTTTAAATCCTTAATTTGTAGTCTTCTTGGCTTCACTTAATTTCGATATGTGTTTTTTTGTTCCATACATTGTAATTAACTGCTTGTTCGATCTTATAATGATAAATGTTTGTAAAATACCGTATTATTATTTTGTAAAACAATACAACAGCTCAATAAAACAGTATAATTTATTTTAACAAAACTGTCTACAATTAACAAAAGTATTACTTAACATCGAGTTTAGCTAAATTAATAAATCATTTTGCAGTTGACGTTAATTAAAGATAACTTGAAGACATTTTTAATTGTGTTAATTAACGTAATAGGTATTCATAATTAGCTTTATAGGGTGCCGCTATACTTTTTAAAACTAATTGAGAATCTGCTAACAATAAGTGCTTCGCCACTTGTACTTCGTAAGATTCCCTTAACAACTCAATACCAGATATTCTGTGTACTTAGACTGATCGTATTTCATAATGAAGCTATACTTAAATTAATTAAAGCAAAAAAAAGGAAAAAATAATTACTTTTTTATCTATAGCCTAACCTAAGTTTTTTTCTAAGTCTACAGTCCTAACAGTCCTAAATGTTTTGCAATTGTTTTCGGAAATTGTGAAACTAAAATAAATTCTGTTTTCAGCAAATGCTAAATTCAGGTGGTTTTTTTTTAAATATTACATCAATTTACCACTAGTTTTAAAATGTAATGTGTCTGTTTCAACTGATATGTGTGTTTCAATTATGAAATTTCTGATGTCAACAGCGTTTCTGCCCAGTACTAGAATCTAGTAGGTTATCTAACAAAAAAGACTAGCTAGTATCTCCTATATCGCAAGGTATCCTCTTTTTCTAGACCTACATTAGCTACACCTTGTACTCTACAATAAAAAATATTTAGTTAATTTTATGATTGAGACAAAACTCCCATCAGAATTTATCATTTTCAAGATTTACCATTTCCCCAACTCACCATACACCAACCTCTTACTGTTTAAAAAAAATTAGCTTGCTCGTGAAAATATTTAATTGATCCTTTCAATGAATGAATTTTTTATAAAATCGTCGAGACATTAAAAAAATCAGTATAATCATTTATTAGATTTCCTTTTCCTTTTTATATACAAATTCTCTACAGACTTTACAGTATGCTCAAAGTAAAATGTTTAACCCTAATCGACGGCATCGATTAAGACGTCACAGGAAAAACTACGCAAAACTAGACACTATTTTTATCATTCTATTGACAGAAGTATTTTGATCATAATAGCCCACTAGAATCTAAGTTAAAAAAATATATTTGTGTATTGGTTTCTTACTTAATGGCCAGGCTTTTGTTGAAAGCGAAGCCAAAAAAATATAAAGATCTCTTCAGGGAAGAAGAGACGAGCAGTAAAAAAACAGTTTTACAAAATCAATCAGAGTAAAACAATGGCTTGCTTGCATAGGAAGTGGATGGTTTTTCTCGTTTCTGATTGTCGGTCATACACTATGTCAGACTTGCATTTGGTGTGTCAGACTGGCATTTAGTGTGTCAGACTGGCATTTAGTGTGTCAGACTGGCATTGAGTGTGTCAGACTGGCATTGAGTGTGTCAGACTGGCATTTAGTGTGTCAGACTGGCATTTGGTGTGTTAGACTGGCATTCACTTTGTCAGACTGGCATTTAGTGTTTCAGACTGGCATTTAGTGTGTCAGACTGGCATTTAGTGTGTCAGACTGGCATTTAGTGTGTCAGACTGGCATTTAGTGTGTCAGACTGGCATTTGGTGTGTTAGACTGGCATTTAGTTTGTCAGACTGGCATTTAGTGTGTCAGACTGGCATTTAGTGTGTCAGACTGGCATTTAGTGTGTCAGACTGGCATTTAGTGTGTCAGACTGGCATTTAGTGTGTCAGACTGGCATTTAGTGTGTCAGACTGGCATTTAGTTTGTCAGACTGGCATTTAGTGTGTCAGACTGGCATTTAGTTTGTCAGACTGGCATTTAGTGTGTCAGACTGGCATTTAGTTTGTCAGACTGGCATTTAGTGTGTCAGACTAGCATTTAGTGTGTCAGACTGGCATTTAGTGTGTCAGACTGGCATTTAGTGTGTCAGACTGGCATTTAGTGTGTCAGACTGACATTTAGTGTGTCAGACTGGCATTTAGTGTGTCAGACTGGCATTTAGTGTGTCAGACTGGCATTTAGTTTGTCAGACTGGCATTTAGTGTGTCAGACTGGCATTTAGTGTGTCAGACTGGCATGTAGTGTGTCAGACTGGCATTTAGTGTGTCAGACTGGTATTTAGTGTGTCAGACTGGCATTTAGTGTGTCAGACTGGCATTTAGTTTGTCAGACTGGCATTTAGTGTGTCAGACTGGCATTTAGTGTGTCAGACTGGCATTTAGTGTGTCAGACTGGCATTTTGTGTGTCATCGTTATGTCAGATTAGCATTAACCGTAGCTTCAAATTAAAATGTAACTAGGATCTAGTTTTTTAACTTAATCCTAACCGTCATCAACATATATCAAACAATAACCGTCAAGCATTTCGTTAAATATAACCAATATAAACATAAGTCAAATTTAACTGAAACAGCTGCACACATTCGTATTTTGTTTTTATTCATTTCTATTTGATGACAAAACAAAGTTCATGAACTGGTCCGCCTCAGTTGTTCACTATTCTACTCCATTGTTCACTATTCTACTCCAATTGGGTTGGGTAAATTACGCTGCAAAAAAAATAATTGTAAAAAAATCATTTCTTCACTCTTCTAAAAAGCTACAAATCACGAATGCTGGTTAGTGTGTATCTACACATAACAGGGGCGTAGCAAGGTTTTTAGGTTTAGGAGAGGGGGGAGGAAGATTAAAAGAGTGGTAAGTTTTTATTTCCTATGGAACATGTGTTTTCAATCAACACAAAGGTCAAACATTAAATATGCAGTCCCGCATGAGAATAGATGCATCTTTTCACGAAAGAGGCGTCGTTTTTCTGGAGATGGCATACAGAAGGTGAGGTATGTCCTCCCCACCCCCACCTACTGCCCCACCCCCAACCATAACTTACCGTGGTTCTAGACCTCTGAACTGACCCCGTCAGAAGCTCCTGGCACTCCTGTAGCGCCCTCCTCACCCCCACCCCCAACCATAACTTACCGTGGTCCTAGACCTCTGAACTGACCCCTGTCAGAAGCTCCTGGCACTCCTGTAGCGCCCTCCTCACCCCCACCCCCAACCATAACTTACCGTGGTTCTAGAACTCTGAACTGACCCCTGTCAGAAGCTCCTGGCACTCCTGTAGCGCCCTCCTCACCCCCACCCCCATGACTTACCGTGGTTCTAGACCTCTGAACTGACCCCCATCAGAAGCTCCTGGCACTCCTGTAGCGCCCTCCCCCCCCACCCCCATGACTTACCGTGGTTCTAGACCTCTAAACTGACCCCCGTCAGAAGCTCCTGGCACTCCTGTAGCGCCCTCCCCCCCCACCCCCATGACTTACCGTGGTTCTAGACCTCTAAACTGACCCCCGTCAGAAGCTCCTGGCACTCCTGTAGCGCCCTCCTCACCCCCACCCCCAACCATAACTTACCGTGGTTCTAGACCTCTTAACTGACAAACGTCAGAAGCTCCTGGCACTCCTGTAGCGCCCTCCTCACCCCCACCCCATGACTTACCGTGGTTCTAGAACTCTAAACTGACCCCTGTCAGAAGCTCCTGGCACTCCTGTAGCGCCCTCCTCACCCCCACCCCCAAGCATAACTTACCGTGGTTCTAGAACTCTGAACTGACCCCCGTCAGAAGCTCCTGGCACTCCTGTAGCGCCCTCCTCACCCCCACCCCCAAGCATAACTTACCGTGGTTCTAGAACTCTGAACTGACCCCCGTCAGAAGCTCCTGGCACTCCTGTAGCGCCCTCCTCACCCCCACCCCCAAGCATAACTTACCGTGGTTCTAGAACTCTGAACTGACCCCTGTCAGAAGCTCCTGGCACTCCTGTAGCGCCCTCCTCACCCCCACCCCCAAGCATAACTTACCGTGGTACTAGAACTCTGAACTGACCCCCGTCAGAAGCTCCTGGCACTCCTGTAGCGCCCTCCTCACCCCCACCCCCAAGCATAACTTACCGTGGTTCTAGAACTCTGAACTGACCCCTGTCAGAAGCTCCTGGCACTCCTGTAGCGCCCTCCTCACCCCCACCCCCAAGCATAACTTACCGTGGTACTAGAACTCTGAACTGACCCCCGTCAGAAGCTCCTGGCACTCCTGTAGCGCCCTCCTCACCCCCACCCCCAAGCATAACTTACCGTGGTTCTAGAACTCTGAACTGACCCCCGTCAGAAGCTCCTGGCACTCCTGTAGCGCCCTCCTCACCTCCCTCAACCTCTGCTTCAGCTGGATCAGTTGCAGCCTGCAACAACAAACAACTCCGTTACTTGTGTGATCTCCATCAGGGCCTTAGGCACCGTACACTGTTTATATTCCCTCTTATAGAAATTAGTACTGAGACCGCAACATTATAATTAAAACACTCATTTCTAAAGTGAAACAAGCTTTGGGAACCAAGCAAAAAACAAGGCGATTAAAGAAAACCTCCAAGACCAAATGCAGACTTTTTAAAAATTTCATGCGTTCTTCTGTATAGGGCTGGTAAGTAGGTCACCAACCAGCTCTACGGCTCAATAAAAACCTGCATGAGCCATAGAACTGGTTGGTGACCTACTTACCAGCCCTATTGCAGTGAATGTTTACAAGCAACAACAACCGCTTCCATCTGACAGTGTCTTCGAATGATCCACTGACACAATTTCCAATGATAGGAGACAACGAGAAATGGAAGTCGTTTAAAAAATAATTGAAGAAAAAAAGGTGGGCCATGTATGAAGAATTTGACCAGATAAAATTACAGCAAATGCGCGGGGAAAAGAAGACAGGGAAAACCAATGTAGACGTGGAGACACACAGCAGAAAAAATAACTGAATATAGTCAGACTATCTAGGGGACTGCCTAGAAAGTTGCCAGAGACCGACAGAAGTGGAAATAACATTCTGCGCCTGCCCTATTTGTCCTTGTCATTAATAGACACATAGATGTGTCGTGGGATGGTATCGATGTACATCCACATGTGTAATGTAATGGATGTCCAGTGGTACAGTCTCTCTAATATACGTCTGTTACATTACGTCTTGTTAGTGATTGTTATGTCCCTTGTATTGTGTACATTGTGGTTGCGTCCCTTGAGTGTTCACTGTGTCATCCGCGATGTGTAGTTAATGTGTACCTGTGAGTCAGTTAACTGCAGACAGACCCAGAGACAAGACGTGTCGTCTATGCTGTCTAGTATAATAAAGTATCAAGGTTCACTGTTCACTCAGAAGTAACGTAACAACGTCCAGCAATACACTTCATGAACATCAAGCAAACCCCCTAAAGTGTCACCTCACACACAGCATGTAACGCACATTATGTACTCACGCTGGGGACAGAGGCCACGGTGTCGGAATGACGTCAGGAACCTCCACAGATTCTGGATCAGCTGTCGAAGCAGACGAGACATATTTTTTTTTAATTTACAAGGACACTACCAATATGCGTGGTAAATTTAGAAATAAAATAAGTTTAAAAACTGAATGGAATATTACGGTACCATTGACTGATGACGGTGGAGGGGGCCGTGAGGTGGGGAGAGAACCCTGGCATAACTCCAGCTCGTGTGTGGCTAGCTGTAGGCAGATTAACATAACTACGTTTGTTTATGTAAGTCTCGACACACACACACACACACATACATATGTGTGTATATATATATATATATATATATATATATATATATATATATATATATATATATATATATATATATATATATATATATATATATATATATATATATATATATATATATGTATATATGTATATATATATATATATATATATATATATATATATATATATATATATATGTATATATATATATATATATATATATATATATATATATATATATATATATATATATATATATATATATATATATATATGTATGTATATATATATAAATATTTGTGTATATATATATATATATATATATATATATATATATATATATATATATATATATATATATATATATATATATATATATATACATATATATATATATATAAATATTTGTGTATATATATATATATATATATATATATATATATATATATATATATATATATATATATATATATATATATATATATATATATACAAATCAAAAGTTTCCATGGATTACCTCGATTTTAGCAATCGTCTGCCAAATCTGTAGATAATCTGTGGGTCTGGATGTGATACTGACCACCATCAAACTGACCAGCAGAACAAACAGCTGTGTCTTCATGTTGTTGGTAGGATGTCAACTAGCTAGATAACGTTACATTGTTTTTGTTTTTTAAATTCATTTATATTTTTGCTTTTGAAAAAAACATTATTGAAAATGTTAAATCGGGATGTTCTACTTACACCTGTAAGGTCATGTCTGACTTTTAGCTGTTAAGTCATGTTCTACTTACACCTGTAAGGTTATGTTATTTTCAGCTGTTAAGTCATGTCACACTACTTACACCTATAAAGTCATGTCTGACTTTCATCTGTAAGGTCACTTGTTTCCTTCTCTACCTTGAGTGAGAGGATCTTCTTCTTTTTTCATCGTTCTTAATTATAATATTGAAGGGGATTACCTTCAACTCATTCAAGTATAGCGTGTCAACATGTAATGGGCCATATGGCCATTGACTCCGACTTCTTTTCTTTCTGGATTTGCTTCCATAGCCTTTAGCTCAGCCAAGAACAGAACAAACTACAAAGCAGCAGTTGTTTGATTATAGAGTTTTCTCTCCTAGATGGGTTGCTGTCCCCAGGTATAGAGCCTTATCTGCCTTGGAGTTCGAACTCGGGACTTCTGGAGTTACAGTTACAGTCACTGAGTAACAACGTGTCAGTCACGTGGGGCTAGGTCACCGAATTTACTAATTATAGATCACACTCTCCTTACACGGAAACAATGCTGTTGAATCTGTAAGTTAATGCTATTACATCTGTAAGGTTATATGTGTTCATCTATATTATCTTACAGCAGAACGAAAAAAGACACTTACCAGTGGTGAAGTTGTACGAAGTGTTTAATTCAAACCTGAGATGTGTATTTCAACCCAGCTATTACAAGAGTGAGTTATTTTATACGACTCTTCGGCAGTTTGATATGTTTATCACTTCTCTCGGGATTTGGATGAACTAATTAAAAAACGTGACTCGCGGAAGGAAACAGCTTAATTTACAATACAATATTTCTGTTCTATTTCACTGTTGTAAACCCTACGAACTTAGACAAAGGTCTGGTGTATACACTCACACAAATACACCGGTAATACCTCTATATATAACGTGTTGCCTTGGGTTACAACTGACGGTGTAAATACCGAAACGTAGCAGAATATTGTATGGACAGCTGTTGGACGGAGCGGAAATTAAAAATAAGCCGACTTGGGAGACACAAGGCTAGGGTTAGTTAGATATTATCTCATAGTCTCTGGATCATAGTGTAATTATATTGAGGTTTACATAACATAAAAATGAATAATAATAATAATATTGTTATTATCATTATCGACCTTCTCAAACTCATTCTCTCATCGTTACCATTATTCATTTTACTAACTCATAATCATTATCATTATCATATTCATCACCAAATTTATCATCACATATACCCTCTAAATATCATCATCACCACTTTTAATATCATCATCTCTGTCAGCATTAGCACTACAACCATCATTATCATTATCACCGTTAACATCAAAATCAGTCAACTACAAATATCTTCTTCGTCATCAACTTATTTTATTTTATCATCACTAATGTATTTTCCATTGATGTTTCCATTGATGTTTCTTTATTTTATCATCGCTAATGTATTTTTCATTGATGTTTCTTCGTTTTATCATCACTGATGTATTTTTCATTGATGTTTCTTAGTTTTATCATCACTGATGTATTTTCCATTGATGTTTCTTAATTTTATCATCACTAATGTATTTTTCATTGTCATAGAAGGTACTAAAGATAAACTATTCTTGCGCACTACGTCTTGTTTGTTGGTCTAATCGACTCAAAAACATCAGTCATGTCCTAACTATACATTGCAAAATATCAGTCATGTCCTAGCTTTAATACAGGACAAATATCAGTTGTCCTATCTATACAGGACAAATATCAGTCATGTCCTAGCTAGACAGGACAAATATCAGTCATGTCCTAGCTTTAATACAGGACAAATATCAGTTATGTCCTATCTATACAGGACAAATGTCAGTCATGTCCTAGCTAGACAGGACAAATATCAGTCATGTCCTGGATATACAGGACAAATATCAGTCATGACACCATGACAAAAAGTAGTAGAGAGTATGCCACAGAAGTCAACCCCATACCCCACCCCGCTTTAAAAAGAAATACTTGAAACATTTTATCAACTTATGAAACTTATATCAACATAACAATATGTGTTTGTATGTTCGTCTGTAAGCTGAGCCCATCCTTATGTAAGCGATATTAATTCCGGTTTAATCAGAGGCGTAGCGACCCTTCCCGGCGCCCGGGGACAAACTTTCGATTTGCACCCCTCCCCCCTCAAGATTTCGATTTGCATTCCCACTCTCAAGATTTCGATTTGCACCCCCCCCCCCCCCCTCAAGCTTTCAATTTACTTTTCCAACCCATTTTGGCGCCCCCCTAAGGTCGGCGCCCGGGGACAGATGTCCCCCCCGCACCCCCCCCCCTCGTTACGCCTCTGGGTTTAATGTTTTATAAGCTCAGTCCTTACCGGTCTTCTTATTCTAAAAGCGCTGCAACAAATAGTTACTAAGTCTAAGTAGATGCTAAGTTTTCGTCATGGCTTAAACCAGAATTTGCATTTTTTTTCTTCAGTAAATTGAAAAATAAAATTCTAAATCACTTCTGGAGGATGAAAAAAAAAAGACCCAGTAGAGCTGTTTACATTATTATAAATGAAGTCAAGCGGAAACAGTTCTGAATTAATCCACGGCCCAACTGTAATGAGCATCCGGTTTAATTTTTGCTCTCCCCTTTTCTTCGAGCAAAATTGTTGTTATCGATAAACGCTGGCACGGTTATTTAAAAACAAGTTAACTATTTATTTTAAACGAAACAATTTAAGCAGCACTGTTTTTAGTACTCATTATACGCTTAGCCAATATTCTCTTGCTGAATGGTTTTAAATTATAAATTGTGTGTATTTTTACATACTAATATGGTATAAAAATAAATATGCTAAATCCGCGTGTTAATTTATTCTTCTAGCTGTGAATCCATATTTTGACTCGTACGCCAAACATTAGTAGTTTTTTTTTACGAAACTTTCACTAAGGTAGCTTCATGCTAGTCACTTTGGTAGTTGCATTAGTGGCGTCCCCTGTCTAAACTGAGACAAGACACAACGAGTCATCCTACATTTTTTATGATGGCAAGGTTTTCAGGTGCAAGATACCAACTCAATGGCGTTTAGAAAGAAGAAAAAAAAAGGGGGGGGGGGGAATCATTAGATCTCTATATGACATGTACATGAAAACCAGAAATAGAATTTAGGCGGGGGTACTCCGAGGGGGTACAGAGGGTTCAGAGTTTTGTGAGGATGTGTGACGGGGGTTCAGAAAGTCTCAAAACACATGTCTGCATTTTTTTAAAATGAATCTTAAAACTGAATTATACCCGACAAAGGACCTGTATTATCGAAAGTCTTTTTGTCGGAAGCTAAAGTCACCGGAGTCGAAATTCCAGGAGCCGTTTTGTCGATGGTCCTTTTGACTAGATTATATTCATTTAATGAGACCGTTGTGTGTGTTTGTGTGTGTGTGTGTTTGTGTGTGTGTGTGTGTGGTGTGTGTGTGTGTGTGTGTGTCTGGGGGGGGTGTGTATGTAAGACAGTTGCTACGGGCCGATGTTGATGCCCAACTGGTTTAAGTTCGTGCGCAAATTATGTAAAACACACGACATTGTTATCATTACAATACGAGAAAAATGGCCCGTTGAGGAAGGATACACCGGGCGCTAGGCTGATAGTGCTGTCTCTTTTCTCTAAACTAAAACCACCCCCGCCCCCCCCCCACACACACCCCCACCCCCCACACCCCCCACCCACCCCACACCCCCCCCCCGACCACCCCACACCCCCCACACCACCCCCCCCACACCCCCCGACCACCCCACACCCCCCCCACACCACCCCCCCCACCCCCCACCCCCCAAAAAACATGTATACCGTCCCATTCAACGAAATATAATTATATACTTTTTCCAGTGTCCGCCCCCTCCCCGAAAATTCTACCCCCCACCCCCGAAAATTTCAAGTACCCCCACCACTCTCCGGGGAGGAAAAAGTCTAAATTAAAACCACCCCGCCCACTCACCCCCCTACCCCCCCACTCACCCCCCTACCCCCCCCCACCCCCCCCCCCCCTCTAAAAAAACATGTCTACCGTCCCATTCAACGAAATATAATTATATACTTTTTCCAGTGTCCGCCCCCTCCCCGAAAATTCTACCCCCGCCCCCGAAAATTTCAAGTACCCCCACCCCTCTCCGGGGAGGAAAAAGTCTGAAAGAAACACTGGTGTCGCGCTTAGCCACTACGCGAAGAATTGCATTAAAGAAATTGCGAGAAAACCACTTTTTAGATTAGACACATTAATTAGGCGGTAATTTTATTATAGAGTATCGATGAGGAAATTTCTTTTGAGTTGGGGAGGGGGGGGGGGGGGGGCTCAGACGTTCTTACGCGGGGGGTGGGGCTTCGCCCCTACTCGAAGAATTCTATGCAAGAAACTCTTCACGCAAACCATTTAGATTAGACAACATTTCCTTTTTTTCAATGTTTCAATGACGTCATTACATTACTGTGTGCACTCTCTGGTTTGAGATTATGTTCTACTCTACGCTAAATGTGTCGACGTCATATTTCGTTTTTCGAATTACTGTGCAGGTTTTTAAATTCCTTGTGTTTTCTCTAGAGCGTTCTTGTCAGACAGATAGATAGATAGATAGATAGATAGATAGATAGATAGATAGATAGATAGATAGATAGATAGATAGATAGATAGATAGATAGATAGATAGATAGATAGATAGATAGATAGATAGATAGATAGATAGATAGATAGATAGATAGATAGATAGATAGATAGATAGATAGATAGATAGATAGATAGATAGATAGATAGATAGATAGATAGATAGATAGATAGATAGATAGATAGATAGATAGATAGATAGATAGATAGATAGATAGATAGATAGATAGATAGATAGATAGATAGATAGATAGATAGATAGATAGATAGATAGATAGATAGATAGATAGATAGATAGATAGATAGATAGATAGATAGATAGATAGATAGATAGATAGATAGATAGATAGATAGATAGATAGATAGATAGATAGATAGATAGATAGATAGATAGATAGATAGATAGATAGATAGATAGATAGATAGATAGATAGATAGATAGATAGATAGATAGATAGATAGATAGATAGATAGATAGATAGATAGATAGATAGATAGATAGATAGATAGATAGATAGATAGATAGATAGATAGATAGATAGATAGATAGATAGATAGATAGATAGATAGATAGATAGATAGATAGATAGATAGATAGATAGATAGATAGATAGATAGATAGATAGATAGATAGATAGATAGATAGATAGATAGATAGATAGATAGATAGATAGATAGATAGATAGATAGATAGATAGATAGATAGATAGATAGATAGATAGATAGATAGATAGATAGATAGATAGATAGATAGATAGATAGATAGATAGATAGATAGATAGATAGATAGATAGATAGATAGATAGATAGATAGAGAGACAGCGAAACTATTATTATAGATAAGGTTATAAAATATTATTAAAGATACATATTGTTCTTAAAAATATATCATGTAGAAAACGCTACATCTTTGTAAAATTGGACCCAAAGAAAAGGATATCAAAGGTAGTGCTATATAATATTGCTTTATATCTATCACCCCTGTACATATAACAATGTATAACAAAACTATGAACCATTTCTTACCACCAGTGCCGGCCCCCAGGTTATTTAGCGCCCTATGCAAAACTTATTAAAACGCCCCCTTTCACTTAAATTACTTACTAAAACATGTATAAGAAAACAAGTAATTAAAAGTGACATATTAATTTATTATCA